GAAAATGTAGCGCTTATTTTAAACCTTTCCCGGTTTGTCACGTTTCTCACGGTTACACCCTTTTTCTCCTCCTTGGAAACACTCTCACCTCATCTGGTTGTTCCTCGCTACCGTGTGTTTGGTGAATTCTCTGACCAAGCGCATATGGACGGTGTCTTGGTCCTGCTCTTCACTGGCAACTGTCCACCCGTTGTGTTTATAAATCAAGCGGAAATGTGAGTCGACTATAGATAGTGTCCTCTGGGGGGTTCGGTTTCTCTAGGTTACCGGTGATCGGCCATGGCACGGTCAATTAGGCAGTATCTGGAGACGCTGTGCGTCGTCATGACCCAGAGGAGTTGCCAGCAGCATCCAGGGGGCCAGGGGTGCTGGTCAGCGTCCTACAACACCCAGGATGGTGCTCCCCACAACAAGGAATGAGCTGGCCTCACTGTCCGTCATGCCACAGCTTGAGAGATTCAGCAGGGATACCTCTTACTAAGTAGGGGGCAGGCCTGCTGGCTTCGGTCACGACCCCAGACTGGCTGAACGTTGGACACCAGGGACGCTAATGCGTTGCCCCCACACAGAGCTTTCCTTGAGGTACCACTGAGCTCTCTCTTCTCCCTCTTAACAACTTCCCCATCTGCCATTGGGCCAGTCCTGACTGTTTCCATCTCTGTCGTTGACATAATGAGCTTTATTCCTACTGCTGTCCCCTTGGGAGGAAGAAGAGCTGCAGGAAAGCTGAGGAGGCACTCATTAGCCTCGGAGTCCAGTTGGGAGGAGTGGGGCGCTGGTGGTGGAGGCTGGGCCAGTCCCGGCGGAGCAGCATCCTGCCTGGAGGTGTCAGTCTCCCCAGATGGCGCCTTATGCAACACGTTGGCGCACGGCAGGGCTCCAAGAACCAGGGCCTAGGAGAAAGGGCTCAAGCAGGCCTTGCATACGTGGTCAGTGGGCCTCCCCCCGTTCCACGATGAATGCACGTCGGGTCTACAAAATATCCGAGTGACCGTTTCGTCCGGTGTCATCACTGCACAAACGAGGATACGTCAAGAAGGAATGTCTCCACTGGTCCGTGGTCTTCTATACATTCAAAAATGTGTGCAGGCCTGCTGCTCTCACATCTGGTTCTCCCATTAGCTCCTTGAGGTACTTTTTATCGCCACACCGTAGAAAAGGAAACGGGGGCCCAGCCAAATGAAGTGAGTTGGCCCAGGCACTCATTGGGGGATCAAGGACGGACCCAGTGGTCCAGATTGTTCCTGACATTCTCTGCACCTGGCCCTTCTGCTTGCCTCGATGAAATCAGGTTGGCCAGAAGCCACGAGGAAAGTCTTCAAAACAAATGGATTTAAAAAAATCATTGAGGGATGCCTGGGTGGCTCAGCGGCTGAGCATCTGCTCCAGCTCAGGGCATGATTCCAGGTCTGGGGATCGAGTCCCGCATCGGGCTCCCCACGGGAGCCTGCTTCTCCCTCTCTCTGCCTCTCTCTGTGTCTCTCATGAATAAACAAGCAAATAAGTCTTTAAAAAACAAAAAAGCCATTGATTCAGAGGCCACTCGTGGATTCACCCGGAGAAACGCGCCTCACGGAAGTTCATAAGCAAATAGGAGACTGTCTCTGCAATGCAAGGGAACATGGCCAGGTGCGTTTCTGAAGAGCCCAGCCTTCCGGGCATGGTTTTCTGTTCCCTCCAGGAGAGGACACGAGTTGTCACCACCGACGCTCAAGGTCCTGGCACTCCGTGCACCTCTTCGCTAGTCCTCGTTTTGCTTCGGTGGGGCCGGGCCTGCGGTGCCTCTCTCGGCCCCCGTGCCCCGTGGCTGCCTGGCCGCGCTCGGGGGGCTTCCTCGGGCCTCGGGGGCCAAACCAGGGCGCCCCTGTACCCCCCCGGACATCGTGGAGCGTTGGGTCAGAGGTGGGCTTACCCCTCGTCCCCTGCAGGCTGCGCTGCCCCCACAGGGCCGCCGGTGCCACCCCAGGACGGAAGGATCTAGGGCGGGTGCCGTGGGTGCTGCGGGCGCCGTGGGTGCCACGGGTGCTGCGGGCGCCGCGGGCAGGGCGAGAAGGCGGGTGCTGCAGTCCCGGAGCCTGCAGTGGCAAGCGTGCCGGTCACGTGCGCCACCCCCGGGCCACCTGTGGCCTTGGCCGCTACCCGCCTGCGCGCCGGCCCCCCTGCCTGAGGCAGCAGCGTGCTCAGGGTCCGCCGTCGCATGGCCGGACGCCACGGGAGAGCGTGAGGGAGGGAGGGCATCGGCCGTGCTGGTCTCCCCCAAGTTGTTACGCTGGACTCCCAGCCCCGGTGATGGCATCGGGAGGGGGCGCCTGGGGGTGCTCCGGGTGAGGACCGCCGTCCGGGAACCAGAAACCGGCCCTCACCGGACCTCAGTGTGTACCGAGATCTGGGACTCGGGCCTCCGGAACCGCGAGACGAGGTGTCTGTCTGTCTGTACGTCCCCACCTACCGCTGAGCCCCGAGGCTTGACCTCCCTGCACGCCGTCCCCGCGTCACGGACCGGACCCTCCTTGCCGGGACCCTTGCGGGCAGCGCAGCCTGGCGGGCTGGGAGTGGGGTGCCGCACCCCGGGTGGCAAAGCACAGGGCTCAGGGAGGCCCGAGCGGGTGCTGGCAGGTGCCTGCGGTGTGCATCAGCCCTGCGTGGGGTGGGCCCGCCGCGCGCTTTCTAGAGAGAGCAGGAGACCCAGTGTCCGGCCCTGTTAGCCGCTCAAGACACTGACGGAGAAGGGGGGGGCCCCGCGAGTGGGGCCAACGGCCAGGAAGAGTTCAGGGTTCTTCACAGGCCGAGATCACTGTGGCCCCGAGTGCAAGGCGAAGGTTCCAGGCAGGGGGGAGTCGGGCCCCGACCTACGTGGTCCCGCTCCATCCTCTGACCTGGGCCTTGCCTCCTCTGCACCTTCCCTACACCTGGCCTGTAAAAGCATGGAGATAAGGCGTCTGGCATGGCACAGGCCCAGGGGGTGGTCACTGGTTAACTGGGGGTGCTGGTTCTGTGGTGGCCCGAGGGGTGGGGGAAGGGTAGGAGACGGGAGGCAAGGGAAGGGCAGAGGGGAGGCCCTTGTAAAGTGCCCTTGCTGCTGGCCTTGGGAGAGTGGAGGGGGTGGGGGGCAGTAGGGGCCTCGGGGGCCTCTGGGGACTGGTCTTGGGTGGCTCACGTAGGCAGGGCGGTTACATAAGGAGGTTGGAAGCCTCTATGCGGCCGATTGTAACAGTAACGGTTGCTGACACAGGACTCGAGGAAATAAGTAAAGCACACGTTTTATATATTCCTCATAATCGGGCACTGGGGGACGCGCGGCCGGGTTGGGGAGCAGCAGACAGTAGGCAGAAAAGGAGAGGACAGTGCGACACAACGGCCTTTCCTGGAGGAACAGTCCCATCTGCTGGGCACTGCGTTTATTGCAACGGCTGGTCATATTTTGCTCAAGGGAGGCGGGGAGCCGATGATGTGGAATCTGATGGAAACTGGGGCCTGGGCGATGCCCATCAGTCTGGCTTCTGAAGGCGGTATGCTAGCGGTGTGGGTGGCCTCGCAGGCCGACAGTGGGGACACCCCGCAGCCCTGCGCAGCCCACCAGCATGTAGGATGAGTCAGTGGTGATGGGACGTGCTCGTGGAGGAGATCCCCTGGGAGCAGGATTCTGGGGACACCTCCACCCCCCTTGCAAGGGAACGGGTGGACAGAGCTGAGGACAAACTACAGCAAGGGGATAGCCCTGAGACCAGTCAAATGGGTCCAGTGTTGTGGGACCGACAGCGTGTAGCCGCACGCACTGTTGCCGTGGGTGGTGGGTGGGGTGTCCTGCAGGGCAGCTAGTGGGTTCGCCCCCACAACTCGTGCTTGCCTTCTGTCTGCCTGACGGTCGGACCGCGTAGACAGTGCAGGAGTTCAGAGCCACGTGCTGGGAGTGCCCCTGGCCCCACGCCACCTGCAGCCCGGAGCTGAGCACAGGGGGCTCTGTTATCCCTAAGGCCTGCACCCCCCAAGGATTCCCAGCTCCCGGACACCCCTGGCCGCCCCAGACCGAGGTGGCTGACGGTACCCCAGCAGACAGAGCCCCCCCCCTGCAGAGAAGGCCTGCGGCAGCTGGGAATTCCAGCCGCAACGTGTCCCCTGACTCTTGGAGGAAGGGCCACTCCCGGTACCCGATGGGTCCCCACGTGGGTCCCCGCACCCTGCCCTGCCTGCTGCCTCCCTTTCTTGGTTACATGCAGTAACCATCCTGACGAGGGTTGTGACCAGCATCTCACAGCCAAGGCGGAAGTGCCAATTACTCGATAAAGTGACTCAAGCCACCCAGTCAGTCCAGAATGTTCTCGTTTTCCTCGGATGCTTGATCGTGTGGTGGCTCGGCGCCCCCTGCTGCGAGCGCTCAGAGCCCAGCCACAGGAAGGGGCCCCTTGTGCGCCCAGCGGGGCCCGGGGTGCGGGGTGAAAGGAGTGGTGGGCACGCGGGAGGGAGCCCAGAGCTGCCCCTCGGGCAGCAGAAACATTTAGCGGGGGGCTCCCGGGGGGTCAGGCGATGGCTCAAGGCATGATCTGGTGTCCTGGGGCCGAGCGCCGCGCCGCGGGGAGTCTGCTTCTCCCTCCGCCTCTGCTCTTGCTTGTGCGCCTCCCCCCCACCCCCCATCAAATAGATAAATTAAGTATCAAAGTATCCAAAAAATTGAGTATCAGAAAGAAAAGGAAACATTGAGGCAGGGCCGACCGTGCTGTGTTTTGCTGTTTAAAACAGGGAACCCGCTCCGCCTCTAAAGCCGTGCGTCCGTCCCCTGCGCGCAGGTCTCGCCCTGCCGTGGCCTCTGTCTCCGGGCCCGTTCCCTCCGCTTCACCCCACACCTGTAGGTGGGCGTCCCACAGCCACGGCTGCACCCCCGCCCCGCCCCACCCCGGCTAATTAGGAGCATTTGTACCACCTTTGGGTCTCAGTGGCCGCGCCTCCCGCCACCCTTCTCTTCAGGCCTCACGACCCCGTTTGCCCCGTGTCTCCCGCTGCAGGTTTTTCCCACTCGGCGTTCACGTTCGGTATTGAGAGCCACATCAGCCAGTCCAACATCAATGGGACGCTAGTGCCGCCGGCGGCCCTCATCTCCATCCTGCAGAAGGGACTGCAGTATGTGGAGGCCGAGATCAGCATCAACGAGGTACGTGCGCTCGGGGCGCGGGCGGCGGCCTGGTCCCCGCCGGCCAGGACAGCGGGGCCCGAAGCGCTCGGGCCGAGCGCTCGCAGGCCGCGGCCCCGGACGCCCGCTCCGTTCCTCCTGCTGCGGCAAGCCTGTCGTGCTCCGCTTTCTCTTTCGCCTCTACAGACTTCGAAAGTAACAGATCCTGTAGCGTGTCCCCTGTGTTCCTCCAGCAGTTCCCATTACCCCATCTTTGCAAACACCCGAATTTCCACCCGCCCTGTGCACATTGTTCCCTGATGGTGGCCGTTGCCTCCTTCCTCCTGTTAGACTGGGTGCCCGGAGGCCGTGTTCCCCAGCCCCTTGAGGCCCCATCGGGTCTCTTTTCCCCACAAAACAGTCCAGCGTGGGGATGGGAGCGCGTGACCCTCAGGCCCCCGCCAGCGCCCACATCGTGTGACCCTGCGCTTCCATTTCCCCGTCCCGTGTCCACCTCTTCAACCTGTCGAGAAGCCCTCATGGCTCCTCGTGCTCAGGTCCAAATTCCAACACGTCTCGAGGTGAGTGGGACGTCTCATTTGTGACCTTCGTTTGCAGTCATTGAAAAGTGGGGTGACATGCTTTAGAGTCTAAACTAGGAGGCGTCCTCACTACCCTGGGCCGTTACTGCCTCTGGCTGAGTAGTGGTCCGTTTGAGGCGTGAACAGCTGAAGGAAGGTGACACCCGTATCACCCCACTTGGTCAACAGCCATGGCCAGAACCGCAGCATGAAGGTGGCTGATGAGGTGACCAGCTATTTGTTGACACATTTTGGGGGGGTTTCTTATCGTTTCTGTGTTTTCAAATACGATACCGTATCGTGGCCCCAAGTCAGCTGGGTCACGTTTCAGGTAGATGGTGTCCCGCTGAGACTCATGCCATCCGATTTTTCCTAATCTCTGAGGTAATTCCAGTTCAGAACGTGCAAACACATGGTTGCACATCCTGCAGCCTCAACCCAGAAGCACTGATTTTTCGTGTGACTCTTCTATTTGGAGTGGTCTCTAAGGAAAGCACTTCCTCCCTCGTTTTTAAGTGTGTGGAAATTTTGTCATTGCCGATAGAAGCCAGAGAATCACAAGAAGTTGGCTAAAATACGCGTGGGAACTAAACAGTGCTGCCGGCAGTGTCTCATGATATTTAGTGTGCACCCTGGGCCAAAACGGCAGCAGCTGCATGTTTTATTAAGTGGGCTGGACAGGTGCAGGGGCCCCAAAGCCTGAAGGTGCCGGAATCTCTCACTGGGTCTTGAGGTTTCCGGGAGCTACCTCTCCCCCACGAGAGTGAAGCTGTTCACAGACGTCCCACACTGACCGTAGCATCAGGGCAGGAGGGCCCCAGCCCTGGCACTCGGCACATGGGGGCCAGATGAGTGTTCGGTGGGGCGTCCTGTGTACCCGGGGGTGTTGAGCCCCGTCCCCGGTCCCCCAGGCCATGTGTCGTCCCCTCCACTCCGTGCCCACGCTGGATCGCCGGGCATCGCTCCGGGCGCCCAGGCCTGCCAGTCCCCCCCCCCCGTGGCACCTGCTGCCACCGGGGCTGACAGCGGCCCCCGGCTCTCTCCCCAGGATGGCACGGTGTTTGACGGCCGCCCCATAGAGTCCCTGTCCCTGATCGACGCTGTGATGCCCGACGTGGTGCAGACACGGCAGCAGGCCTTCCGGGAGAAGCTCGCGCAGCAGCAGCAGGCCAGTGCGGCGGCGGCGGCGGCGGCAGCGGCGGCGGCGACAGCGGCCCCGGCAGCCCCGGCGGCTGTTGCCCAGCAGCACCCACCAAAGAACGGGGAGGCCGCGGTGAATGGGGAGGAGAACGGAGCACACGCAATAAGTACGTGCGGGGCTCGGGGCTGGTGAGCTTCCGGCGCCTCCTGTCCGGGCTGCGGGGGGTGGAGAGCTCCCCGAGCATCGCCCGCCGTCCGTGTCCAGGCTCTGCTGGTGGGCACAGTGGGCGTGGAGAGCCTCGCGCACCTTGCATCGAGACCCTGGGCAGGGCGGCCTTTCCGCGCCGACACGTCCTGCTACGCAGAGAACTCCTCTAACAGCCAGATGTACGTGTGATTCTTGTCCGACGGCAGAGGGTTTTGTTGGCGGAGGCCCTGGTCCCTCGCACGGCCTTCTGTGCCGAGCCGGTGGGGCCAGCACCCGGGGTAACCGGCAAGCTCAGGGTTAGGGTGACGGCCCCGGGCCCCAGACCCCAGACGGCAGGCATGGCCTGACGCGGTCTTCTCAAAATGCTGGGCTCTCCATCTCTGGCAGGTGATTGTCCTTAAGGACGAGGCCGATCAGAGAACCTGAATTTCTACCCAGAGAACCTGGCTCCACTCTGACCCGTGGCTTATAAACTCAAAGACGGTGTCAGGGTCTGAGCTCAAAGCATGCTCGTGTATACATGTATCATGCGTGGTGTGCATGCGCGTGCGTGCGCAGGGCTTGCTGACGTGCGGCTCGCTGGCCAGATTCTCAGATGAGGCTGCAGCTTGCAGCCAAGCCCTGTGGCAGGTTGTCATCCACGGGCACAGGGTGACAAACTCTCTTCAGCTTGAGGATCAGATCCAACAGCAAATGGAAAATCCACATGGTCTGTGATGCAGATTCCATAGAGGAGGGGGACTTGCAGGCCGAGAGTCTAGCTTATGCACGAAAGACTTCTCACCTGGAGCCTCCATAGTCACTGTTGATAACATCCCAAGTGATGGGGCGGGAAAACCAGAAGAAAATCTGTGGCTTGTGCCAGAGTTGGTTTGTCGGCTGTCCACCCACCAAGGTGGGATACAAACCTCAAGTTCTCAAAAATGAAGCAGGAAGAAACTAAGTGTCATTGTTTTCTTAGTCTTCCATCACAGAAACGAATTTGTAATTGGCGAGCTTCAAGAAACCTGTATGTTTGCTGGGATGGAAATTTTGCGGACTTTTAAATTGAACGGATTTCTTTTAAATCTTAGGACAATCTAATGGGGGAGAGGAAAAAATCTTAATGGGTGCGACTGACACCTGAGTGGCTCAGTCAGTTTGGTGTCCGACTCTTGATCTCAGTTCAGGTTTTGTTTTCAGTGTTGTGAGTTCAAGCCCTGTGTTGGGGTCAATGCTGGGCACAGAGACTACTTAAAAAGAAAAAAAAAAAGAGAGAGAAAGAAAAAGAAAAAATCTAACGCAACATAGCTGCATAGAGACACTTACACGCCTTAAAGCACACTGGCCACTCACACAGCCTTCATTTCATGGGTACCTGTGGGTTACCTGTCACATCGCAGGGAGCACACCCGAGGGCTCACTCCTCCCTCCTCCCTGGCACATCATCCTGCGGCTTCTCCTTTTACTTTGTTTCTGGTGCCATCTACAGCTTGTGATCATCTTGCTGCAATTTGGGTTGAGGCCAGACTATGGTATCTGAAGTGATATTTCATTCTGACCTTCAAGAATCTTTTCTCTCCTGCCACTTGGGAAAAAAGCAGCCACCTTCCAGGATGGTTCTTTTAAGGGTGGCATTTAGCGTGGCTTGTCTCCACTGTCACCAAGCCTACTCAGGAATTCAGGACCCAGATCACATGATTCATCAAGTGCTTATTCTGTTAGAAACCTGGCAGTTCTGCTTGGCTTAAGAAGTCTGCTGCAAAGGTGCCTCCAACAACATAGCCCCTGAGTCCCAAGAATATAAGGATGTTTGCAGTGTTGCAGGGTGGGTGCTCTGAAAAAGTGATGGCTCTCCTGATGGGAACTTCACGCTAAAATGTCCCATCCTGTCTGGAGAATAGCAACCTTTGGGCTCCAGCTCACTCTCATCATCCCTCCCCAAACTCATTGTGGTGGTTGCGAGACCTTAGCCTGGTCCTAGTTATGAAGAATATATAACTCTTGGGACACCTGGGTGGCTGTCGGTTAAGCAACTACCTTTGGCTCAGGTCATGATCCTGGAGTCCTGGGATCAAGGCCCACATTAAGCTCCCTGCTTGGTGCGGAGCCTGCTTCTCCCTCTCCCTCTGTCTGCTGCTGTGCACTAGTCTCTCTCTTTCTCTCTCTCTGACAAATAAAACCTTTTAACTGTTTATTTTTCTATCAAATTTGGATGCTATTAAAATAAATTGTGTATTTACTAAATTACACAAAAGCTAAGATATAGTTATGATCATCAGAAATAATATTGCCTAGTATATATAAAGAGGATGTCTCTAGTATTCAAGTTCCCTAAGAATGCATTTTTTTTTTAATATATATATACTGGTCAGCCACATGTCTTTTCCTGTTTCCTATAACAGATAATCATTCGAAACCAATGGAAATAGATGGGGACGTTGAGATTCCACCCAACAAAGCCACAGTCCTTCGGGGCCATGAGTCTGAGGTGTTCATTTGTGCCTGGAACCCTGTCAGTGATCTCCTAGCTTCAGGGTAAGGATGCCAGGCCGGGGGTGCCGCAGGGTCTGGGGGACCTGAGATGCTCACTCCTTTCTGGAATCGCACCTCATGGAACACGTGCTCTCCTCTCACCTGTGTGCAGTCCAAGACCTTGGGCTGTCCGTCTGCACTCCTTCCCAGGTTGTAAGGAAGTCCTCACTCCACCCTGTTCCCACTGGGGCGGGAAGCAATCTGAAGTCACTGAGGGGCACCTGGCTGGCTCAGTCCGTAGAGCACACGACTCTTGATCTCAAGGTTGTGAGTTCGAGCCCCAGGTTGGGTGTGGAGCCTATGTAGAAAACATAAACCAATAAAATTACATTATTAAGAACAACAAAAATGGTGAAGAGAAAAACACAGTGAACGGGATTAGGAAGACACAGGGCCACGGGCCAGTGATACCCCATGTAGGCAGCCCGAAAGTCTGATGGGCTGTTTGCACTTGAACCGGAAGCTGAGTGCTTGTGCATTTTCGTTCCACAGATCCGGAGACTCGACGGCAAGGATATGGAACCTTAATGAAAACAGCAATGGGGGCTCCACCCAGCTCGTGTTGAGGCACTGTATACGAGAAGGGGGGCATGATGTCCCGAGTAATAAAGACGTGACCTCCCTGGACTGGAATGTAAGCATGTGCCACCCCCCAGACACTGTAGCACTCAGGGGCCCCCCAGCGCACGGCGGGGCTCTGTGGGGGTGGATGAGCAAACCCAGGGTGGCGGGTGGTCCTGATTCTGAGCCCCCCAGCCCGGGGCCGGTCTCACAGGCGCTCTCCATTTCTGTGGGCTTCTGACAAGGCCGCGTTGGACGTTCAGCTAGGCGTTCAGGGTGTTCAGGGGCCCTCGGTTTCCCTCAGTGAGCCGGATGAGCCTGGTGGTTTCATGGGGCGTTGAGGGTGCTGTTCTGCGGGCGACACGTGCCATGCAGCCGGGCCAGGGGACACCCCAGGCTGTTCGGGCAGTGGGCGCTACAGACGTTGACAGGTGGGGGGCCCGCATTTGTCTGCAATGTCTTTACACTTTCCCTGCAGCACAGACTCTTCTGTGTGTACAGACACGTGTTGACAAGCTTCCTTAAGCCTCTCAAAGTCTCGCTCTAACTGTTCGGGTTGCAGTGTGGTTACTTGTGTCACGGGGCGAGTGGTCGCAGGTGTTCCCTGGTCCCTGGTGTGTCGTTAGAACGCCCCACGTTGTCGGCTGAGAGCCGTGTGGCCTGAAGCAGCCACGTGGGCTCGATGAGTCTCCTCCCTGGGAGCCGGTCACTGGTGGGAGGAGAACATTCTGGCCCCGGGACAAGGTGAGAGGCCTGCGCTTCCGCGGCACCACCCGCCCTGAGCACTTTGTGGTGCGTGTTTCCCTGCCCCGCAGAGCGACGGGACGCTGCTGGCTACTGGTTCCTATGACGGCTTTGCAAGAATATGGACGGAAGACGGTAAGGCCTCGCCGGGCACTGTGGGGCGGGCGAGCGTGGCCTTGGGATGTGGCCGTCGGGGGCAGAAGGCTCTGTGTCACACCTCTTTGTGGCTTCTCTCCGTAACAGGCAACCTGGCCAGCACGTTAGGACAGCACAAAGGCCCCATCTTCGCCTTGAAGTGGAACAAAAAGGGGAATTACATTTTGAGCGCCGGTGTAGACAAAGTGAGTATTAGCTTAAAGTAGGTCCCCCCCACAAAAAAAAAAAAAAAAAAAGTCCCTTTGATCTGTAGATGCTAATTTATTTTTTAATCACTGGATATCATCCCACTTTGCTTTTGTTTTTAAGTCTGAGACTTTCTGTTTCTCCTTAGCGCAGCCAAAGAGCTTCTTTAGGTTTTGTTTTTGTGGTTTTGCTCTCACTGTTCGTTTATGACACGTACTCTCTCCATGTATCATGCAGTTCCGCAGACCTTTGTGCAGAGCTTCCCCCTCCCCCCTTTTTTGAGTTACGTCATTCAGTGATGGGAAGAGGAACTCCCCAAATTGCATGTGTCCGATGCTTGAAGGAGCAAAGTGCTGTGGGGTGCGGTGGACGGAAGCCTTTTGCCCACGGAGCAGTTTGGAAACACAAGCCAGGCTTCTGTTTCCCCAGTTCGATGAACTGTCAGCTGCCGCCACCGTGGGCCATAGGCTTCTCCTTTAGTGGGAGCAAAGCGGACCTGCGCACAAGGGGGCAGGCCCCGGTGGCCCACAGAGCACCCTCAGAGTAGACTTTGTGCTCGGACACGGCCGCCAGGCGGACGTGAGGGGCCCAGGGCCCAGTGGCTGGGAGCAGCAAGTGCATCTAGAAGCCGTGAGTGGGCAGGGAGTCAGGGGGTGTAGGCATCATTCTGGCTCTGACTTCGGGCCACTCTCTCTGGGTTTGTTTCCTCAACTGCCAAGCGCAGGCAGCATGACCCCCAGAGAACGTGCAGTGAACGGTTATGTCATTCCTACGACTCAGCAAGAATTTGAAGTCCTTGCTTTGGAAAAGAAGTATTACCAAGAAATGAAGCAGAAGGGAAACAAAAGCATGCCCTCCCACTAGTTGGTGTTTCTACAACCACAGACTGGGTCTGAGTACTGTGCTGTTTGGTTTCCAAAGGGCTTCTTTACATTTTCTCTCTTTTTTTTTTCTTAAGATTTTCTTTATTCATGAGAGACACAGAGGGGGGGAGGCAGAGATACACGCAGAGGGAGAAGCAGGCTCCCTGCAGGGAGCCCGATGTGGGGCTCGATCCCGGGTCCCCAGGATCACCCCCTGAGCCAAAGGCAGGCGCTCAACCACTGAGCCACCCAGGCACCTCTGGGCTTTACATTTTCACACTGACATCAGGATAATTTGCAAACCTGGTTCAGTTACTGCTTTGTATCCATCCAAGTTCTAAGATGAGTGTAAAGTAATAGCGGTGACCTGTAAACATGGTCACGGTCTTGGTCTCAAATACCTACTTTCTGGCCAGTGGCAGAAAATGTGTGCTGACCTCCGTACCAGAGTGTAACCCTGTAGGTCAGTGAAGAGTTCAGTCTTTCTCTCTTTCTCTCTCTGTCTCTCACCTGTAAGCTTTCCTTTCATACCCGGCGGCCTAGTGTCTAATGTTGGTCATCCATACTGCTGACTGGATTATTAAAATGACGGTCGCTAACCCTTACCGAGCACTTTACTATACGTGTTGGCCTGTTCACTGCTCCCAAGAGAGGAGGTGGGCACTGCTGCTGGTGGCCCCGCTCCCCAGACCCAGCTCTTACTTGCCTAGGGACACACTGGTCCAGGGGGCAGGCCCTGGATTGCGCTTTGACCTCCACACCCCTTCTGAAAAGTTCTTTGCAACCTCACCTGCCTCCTGCCCAGGGGCTCTTTTATAGATTTCATTTCTGATTTTCAACCTTACGCTCAGTTGTGACTCTACCAGGTGATGAGCTGTACGGCCAGTGAAAATGCACATTTGGAATCCGATTAGTCTTGGCGTCCTACGCTCTCTGCCATTGTTAATCAACCGTGGCATGAATAACGGTCGTGTTCTCAAAGGTGATACCGGGGAGAAAGGTCATTGACAGCGATGCTGGTGTTCGCCTTCCCTGCATGCGTAACCTGAAAGTGGTGGCAGGAGGATAGAGCACGTCCTTAAAAGCTTTCATGCAATTAATTTTTAGTTTTGTCTCTTGTATATTTAACTGAGATGTTAGCTAAGTGATATGATTACTCATGTAGCATGGGACACTCTATCAGGGAAAAGTACTGGGAGTTTATGTATTTTCTGCAGAGCTACATTTATTTGAGTGGCTACATTAAGAAAAGAGTGACCCGGTGGCACAGCTAACACAGGCGGTGTTAGCGCCGCCTACAGCCTGGGGTGTGATCCTGGAGACCCAGGATAGAGTCCCATGTCGGGCTCCCTGCATGGAGCCTGCTTCTCCCTCCGCCTGTGTCTCTGCACGCTTCCCCCCCCCCATAAATAAATAAGTAAGTAAGTAAATAATAGATTAATTAATTTAAACAAAAAAGAAAAGAGTGACACTCCACCAAACAAAGACAGTTGGCCTAGACGCACCTGGCTGGCTCAGTCAGTGGAGCATGCAACTCTTGATCTCGGGGTTGTGAGTTCGAGCCCTACGTTGGGTGTAGAGATTACCTAAAAGTAAAATCTTAAAACAAAACAAAATTCATCTGTCTGAGCTGGTCCCAAACTCAGAGACCCAAGTTTTAAAGATACTTGGTGCTCTGAAAATTTCTTCTCCAGTTGATGCAAAATATAAGCAGTTTTCTTAAAGCAAAATCTTAAGTGCTTTGGACAGGGAGGTGGAAAAGTCTCAATTAAGGTGAAAGTTCCAGTTGATTAGGACTTAATTCCCGTGGCGTTCATCGAGCTGCCTCCGCTTGCTTCCCTGAGTGTCTTCCTGATATTAGTAAGTTCCTAAGGATTCAGGACTTACTTTGCCAGTTCTCCGCCAAGGTGGAGAGAATTTTGTCCTCCCTATTTGTAGACTCGTGAATTGGTGCCTGACCCCAGTGTAACACACTGCTCTGCGTGTGCAGTGGCCGCGATTCAGGGGGTGATGGTCGGGGAGGTGTCAGAAAAGCCAGTTTCTATAGCTCTTCATTTGGGAAAGTGCCAGAAAGGTGTGTCGGGGTGTTTCACTGCAGGTTTTTCAGCAGGTCTCCATGGTGGGGGTGAGGGAGAGGCCTGACCCCCCCAGTCGGGGCAGTTATCCAAGGATCAGGAGCAGCTGCTGTGTCCTGGGCAATAGCCACCGGCGCACATGTAGCTGCTGAGCTCCGCAAACATAGCCATCCGGACCGTTAAGCATAAAACATGCTGGGTTCCAAAAATCTAGAGAAGACGCAATGCCAGATATCTCGTTAATGTTTACAGATCGATTCCATGTTGACACTATTTTGGCCACAGTGGAGTGAAATAAAATATATTATTAAAATTTAGTTTACCGATTTCTTTTTAAGATTTTATTTATTTGAGAAAAAGAGCAGGGGGAGGGGCAGAGGGAGAAGCAGGCCCCCCGCCGAGCAGGAAGCCCGATGTGGGACTCGATCCTAAGACCCCGAGACCACAACCTGAGCCGAAACCAAGAGTCAGGTGCTCAACCGAGCCCCAGATGTGCCCCCCCCCCATTTTTCTTAACGTAGTTACAAGAAAATTAATAATGACCTTTGTGGCTCACATTCTGTCTCTTCAGTGTTGGTGTTGAAGGAAGGGGGCTGGTTCACGGTCTTTTTCTTGTACGTTAAATTTTTCTAGAAAAATCTTCCCGTGGGATCCCTGGGTGGCGCAGCGGTTTGGTGCCTGCCTTTGGCCCAGGGCGCGATCCTGGAGACCAGGGATCGAATCCCACGTCGGGCTCCCGGTGCATGGAGCCTGCTTCTCCCTCTGCCTGTGTCTCTGCCTCTCTCTCTCTCTCTCTCTCTCTCTCTGTGACTATCATAAATAAATAAAAAATTAAAAAAAAGAAAAAGAAATCTTCCCGTGAAGAAGAGTCACTAACTTTTTCTTTCTGTTTGCGGAGCACAGACCACAATAATTTGGGATGCCCACACAGGAGAAGCCAAACAACAGTTTCCGTTTCATTCCGGTGAGTTGCTGATTTTTCTTTTTTTCTAATTCAAAACCAGTAATTCCTAGTCCCAGGAGGTACGTCCCCTGAAGTAACGTGGGAGCTGTCGGGAAGGGCGCACGCCCCGCGGCCGCCGAGCTCTCCCGGTCGCAGGTACCGACGCCGCGGGCCGCGCAGGACTGGAAGGTCCCTGGCGAAGCGACCCCGAGCCGGCGCTGGCGTCTCCTGCTGCCCGAGAGGGAGGCTGCGTGGGCTTCCCCGCGGCCACACCGTTGCCCAGCTCCCCCGGGGGCCCCCGGGACGCCACGCAGAGCTGGCCTGGGGTGACCTCCGGGGTCCCGAGGGCCCTCCCCCGGCGGAACACCCGGGCCGCAGCGGAGCCCCCAGGCCCCGAGCCGGCGACACGTGGGGCCCTGGCAGGGGACTGTGGGCGCCGGGCCCAGGGAGGCAGACGGTCCGCGCAGGCCCCGTGGGCTCCGGCAGGCGCAGACGCCAGCCCTGTCGGCCGGGGAGTGGGGCCGCGGGCCCGTGGAGCTCCGTGTTCCTGCCGCGACGCGCGGCCACGGCTCTGGCCCTCGGCCTGCGCCTCTGTCACTTGGTCAGGCCACGCCACGCGGGGCAGCCCGCGGTCTGGAGATGCCGTGCTGCACCTGCTGCTTCATGCCCGTGGCGCCGCGTGGGGCCTCCTAACGTGGGCCCGGGTGACCCCCCTCCCCCCCGGGCTGTTGGAGACTCCTGGCTGCACGGGGCCGACGCCCCTCCCTCCCTCAGCAGGACGCGCGTGTCCGACTGTGGCGTCGGCGAGTCCTGGCGGGCGGTGGCGGTGGTGACGCGCTGTAGCCCCACGCTGGCCCCAGGACCTCGCGCCGCTGCCCGTCTCTGGGCCCACGGAGGGGCTGCATGCGGGGGACCTGGGCCTCCGGGGAGCGAACGGTCCACGAGGCAGGACTGTGCTCAGATGTGTGGACCCCAGGCTCCCGTCACTCCACGGTACCTCAAGGAGCAAGGGGACCCTGCTGTCGCAGTTACCCTGCTGCTTCGGAGCCAGAGCCCGTGTCTCCCGTGGCTGTCCTCCTGGCTTGGGCGCCCCACCGGCACGCCTGTGGGGTGCCCGTGACTTTCGTAGTTACCGTTGCCTTCATCGGACCCCACTGATGACGTGGACGGTGCTGAACGTGTTCCAGAATGTGTGTTCTCACCGGGAAGGAGTGGGGCTCCGGACTCGGGCAGCTCGGGGTTCCAGCCTGTGTGGCGTGCGGCGGCGGAGGCCGTGTGCGTCACGCGCGAGTTCCCGTTAGCCAGGCGACTACCCGTTCCCGTCGTGGGCATCACTGCCACGGCCCGGTTCCAGGACGTTTCCACCACCCGAGAGGGAAATCCCTTCTCCGTTAAGAGGTCGGTCTTCTTCCCTCGGCCTCTGCGCCCCCACCCCCCCCCCCCCCGGCCTCCGTGGATCTGCGTGTGTTGCCATCTGCTGGCCACTCACGCTCCAGGCTGCGTATTGAAGCCAGTAGCCAGTGGGACTGTCCTTCCTAGTGGCTTTCCAGTGCGTTGGCATAAATGCCAGCAGCGTCCCGACCTTTGTTGTCACGGAGGACACAGTAACAGGTTCAGAGCCCTAGGCCATCAAGCGTGCTCACCTCTGTGATTGGAGGGAATTCTGAAACCCAGCTCTGGGTTCTACTTTTCAGAGAACAATGTGCCCAAGATAAACATCAGTGAGGGTCCCCAGACACTTTCAAGAACTGATTTATGCGGCACCTGGGTGGCTCCGTCGGTTAGGTGTCTGACTCTTGGTTTTGACTCGGTCTTCATCTCAGGGTTGTGAGGTCGAGTCCTGCATCAGGCTCTGCGTTCAGTGTGGAGTTGGCTTGTGCATTCTCTCTATCCACCTGCCCCTCCCCTCCATAATTATAATCTTTTTTAAAAAGATTTTATTTATTTATTTATGAGAGACAGAGAAGCCGAGACACAGGCAGAGGGAGAAGCAGGCAGGAGCCTAATGCAGGACTTGATCTCAGGACCCTGGGATCATGACCTGAGCTAAAGGCAGATGCTCAACCACTGAGCTACCCAGGTATCCCAATTATAATAAATCTTTTAAAAAAAATCATTCAAAAAAAATAAAAATAAATCATTTATGAAGCTTTTGAGCAGAATGTAGTATTTCCCAAAGCATTTCTAACACTTTATGGAAGGGCTTTCCATCGCACCGGCCCGAGAAGACCATAGACCTTTATGTGTTTTTTTATGTACTGAGAGACCTTCTCACCTGTAATTTTGCTGCCTGCAAGGTAGACCCAAACCCCATTGCTGGTTCACTATGTTCCAGGTGTTATTTCCTCTTTTCTTTTCTTTTTTTTCTCTTTAATGTTAAGCAGAGTGCTAGAGACGATTCAGGATGGAAAGATGAAAGAAAAGAAAATGTGCTCTTTTTCAGGGTAAAACAAAGAGTGTTTCATTTATTTATTTTAGATTTTTCTTTATTCATGAGAAACACTGAGAGAAAGGAGACACAGGCAGAGGGAGAAGCAGGCTCCCTGCAGGGAGCCCGATGTGGGACTGGATCCCAGGACCCCGGGATCACGCCCTGAGCCAGAGGCAGATGCTCAACCCCTGAGCCACCCAGGTGCCCCAAAGATAGAATTTTTAAGGAGGACCCTTTCCGTAGCATTCAGAGACTCCTCATTTGATGGGCTGATCTGAGAACTTGCTTTGCCTTAGTATAGGCTTCTCCGTGAACCCCTGGTAGGGCCACCGTCCGTGACCATCAGCAGGAAGCACGAGCTCAGAGCCTAACCATGCGATACCACTCAGCAGTAACAAGGACACATTATCAATAAATTATAGGTGACACATAACAGCTTCATAGATTTCTACTGAGTGAAATGAGCCAGTCTCCAAAGGTCACCTGCTGTATGATTCCATTTATATATAACATCCTTGAGATGGTGAATGTTTAGAATTGGAGAACCCACGAGTGGACCGGAGTTTAGGGGTGGTGCCGGGAGGGCTTGGTGTGACTATGAAGTGACATGAGGCCACTCTCTGGGACGATGGGTTGGTTCTAGACCGTGACTGGGCAGGTGGTGGCACAGAGCTGCCCGTGTCATAAATGGCATAGCCCCTCACCCCAATGCTGTACCAGTGTCAGCCTTCGGGTCCTGCTGTTAGATGTGGGGCCACAAAATGCAACCATTGGGGGAGCCTGGAGGAGCAGTAATCTCTCAAAATTAAGCTTAAAAAAAGAAAAAGCAAAGCCCGGCTGCACCTGGAGTGGCACCAATTATTGAGGCTCACGGGCCCACATGTGGGCAGGGGGTGCACGCAGGCCCCCAGAATAGCTACACCTCGTTACCTGTCGCTTAGCTACACTGTGTGATAGTGAGATCCCACGGAGCAGGGCCCTGGGGGTCCTGGTGGCAGGGGCCACTCACGGTGGGGCCAGCTGCCCAAGTACAGATGGCAGAGGTTAATTTTTACAACAGTTGCTAGGCCCTGTCCCCCGATCGGCCTGCCAGATTGTCCCGTTTCCAAGCATATGACCTGCATGTCCTGCCTGACTGCAGCGGGTGCGGCGTTGTCAGCAAGCAGCCGGGGGCTTCGCTCTCTGGCTCGTGGGGTCGCCGCCTGCCTTCTGCGGGCACGTGGAGGCGTGCCGGGAAGCGGGGGGCTTCCGAGAGCGCCAGTGCTCGCCCTGCACCGCCGCCCCCCACGGCGCCCGCTCGGGCTCCGCCGAGCACTCCCTGCCTTGGAGGACAGGCGCACGGGGAGGGCTGAAGAAGGCAAGGCCGGTGTGACCATTAGCCCTCCTGAGCCATCCGGATTCTTCTTCCAGTCCAGCCCTGACTTGCCGTGGAGACAGACATGAGACGGGGTCCCGTACGGATGTGTTGATGAAACCTGCACGGTCACAGGCTGGCAGGGACCCACCTCCTGGTCCTGGAAGCGAGGACGTGTCCGAGCAGGGAGGCTGGTGGTGTGGCGGGACGTCGGGGGGAAGGCGGCGCTGCGGGCAGGGAAGCCCCGTCACCATGCCCCAAACCCTCCACAGAGCTCTCACGGCCACCCCGCCCTGGGTCGGCCCAGGGGGCAGTAAGGGTGTGCGTGACGCGTGCCGAGCCCCGGGCCTAGTCTGTCCCCACGGGCATAAGTACCGTCCAGTTGCCGGGATGGTTAAGGTGCTGCAGGAAGATTTTTCTTTTTTTTTTTTTTAAACAAGGTGTCTTGAACACAGGCCATGAGACCTTTTTCATCTCCTTTTCTGTCCTTCCCATCTAAAACAAACCAGCCCGCCACAGTGACACTTCTGGAAGCAGCAAGGTGCACGAGGTGGCAGGCAGCGCGAGTTGTCACCCGGCCTCTCTCACCGTGTCGGGGGAGTGGGGACCCGCGGGCCGGGGGCAGGCGAGCCCCCGCGGGGTCCCTCGTTCCCCGCGTGGAAGCTGAGGTCGTAAGGGCAGTGAGGATGAGGCTGCCTCCGCCCTGGGACCACTTGTGTCGGGTTTCTAGATAAGGCTTCTCGACGATGCTCGTCGTCGTCTGAAGTCAGCCGAGCTCCGTGCCCGTAGTAACCGCGCTGTGCCCCGTCTTCCCTGCCCGGCAGCCCCCGCTCTCGATGTCGACTGGCAAAACAACACTACCTTCGCCTCCTGTAGCACGGACATGTGCATTCACGTCTGCAGACTCGGCTGTGACCGCCCTGTCAAAACCTTCCAAGGACACACAGTACGTATGAGGTGCTCGGGGCATCTCGGTGGTGGGTGAGCCGGGTGCGGGCAGGCGGTGGCGCAGGGACTGACCTAAGGGCTGTCGCACGTGGGCTTCTGCGGGCAGGAGCTTAGGGGCGCGCACGGGGAACGCCAGGGATGCCTGTGGGGAGCGTGGGCGGAGAAGGGAGAACGTGTGCCTGAAAAACAGCCCAGTGGGACTTTAATGTGGGAAGTGACGACCGTAACGGGTGGGTTCAGCGGCGGGGCGGGTGGGGGCTGCAGGAAGGCTAGGGAAGCTGAGGCGAGCTCACAGAAACGAGCCCCGGAAAGGACGGCCAAGCGCCGGAGCCGCTCCGTCAGAGGCCTGCTGGCCTGCGGGCCGTCCGGAGCCCCCAGCACGTACGTGTAGTGGAGACAGAGGAAGAAGGCAGTGGCGAGCAGAAGTTATATGAAGCCACAGTGGCCAAGGTTTCCTAAATTTGGTGGGAATGACGACATTCAATTGAAGAAGCTGAGGTGTCGGCTGGCTTCTTACCAGATTCCTTAGTGGGCACGTGAGGCTCTTCCCTGGAGCCCCCAGCACCCCCTTCTGGAAGACCTGCGGGATTGGCAATTGCCCCCGTCCTCAGCACAGCTGGATTCCCACCGTCCTCACCGTTTCTAGCAGCTTCTGCCCCTCCAGGTGCCTGCTTCTGAAAGTGCGGGCATCACCTCTCCTGGGAACATCTCCCCTGAGCCCCCTCCTTTTCTGGCCTCTTCCTCTGCCCGAACCCTAGACTCTCCCAAGCTGATAAGAGAAGTCTTCGCGGCCTCCCGCTGTCCCACTCCGTCACCAGCACCTTTTTAAATGGGTCTTAGCGCAGCTCCTCCTCCCGCCCAAGACACACGCTGCGTGCCGTGGGGCTCTGTTCGTCCTGAGACCCCGGGAGCCAGCCCTGGCTGCGTCCTGGCAATCGGGGCGGGTTGCGGAAGCAGGGAGCGAAAGGGCCGTGTGGGGCAGGTGTTCGCTGCACCCTCAGGGAGTCCCCTTGGGTCCAGCTGGGGCCGCCCCAGCTCCACGCTCCTGGGCCCTAGGAGGCGTGCCCCTGGGTCGTCCTCTGGGACCCCTCAGCCCCCCTGGCTGCCCGCGCTGCTCAGCCTGGCCCTGGGCACCCAGTTCTCCGGGCTCCTGGGCCCACTATCCTGCACCCCCTCATCTCTAGGCCAACCCCTGGGCCTCCCGTAGCTCGCCCCAAGCCTGCTCCTGGGCTGCCCGGGCCTCCTTCCTCTCCTTTCTTCCAGCCTGCACTCTGTCGATACTGCGTGGAACACAGCGGTGGCCTTGTCACCTTCTCCACAGTGTCCAAAACTCCATGTCCTTAACCAGTAGCAGGACCGTAAAATTCATCATCCAAACCGGAGCACTTAGGAGTGGGAAATTAATTGGGGAATCAGTTGTGAGTGTGGAAGGAGCTCATCATTAGGCACGCGTGGGACCCTCGGGGACAAATGGGATGTAGCGAAGCTGCTGGAAAGCCACGAGAGCCACGGCCTCGCCCCCACATTCCTCCCCGCTTGCCAAGCCCGGCATCCCATCCGCCACCTGCACACGTAGGCGCAGTGAGCTCCTTTCCAAACGGACGTCCCTCGGGCTGCGTTGGCCCTCCCCACCCAGGACCAGCATCAGGGTCACCCGGTCCCCAGAACGGGGCGGGGGTGGGGGCTGTTTGCAGCCTCGTTCCTGTCTGCGCCCCCAGCGCCTGCGCTGCAGTATTTGGTTGGCCGGCCACGTGCTCTGGATTTCGGGCCCCTCGCCCCCCTCGAGGTGTGTTGCCCACCGTTGCACTTACACTTCGGTGTTGGTGTGCACGTGTCCTTGTGCCTCTTGATCCTGGCCTCTTGCACATCAGAGGTCTTAAATCTTTGCCTTGTCCCCCACCTGCTCCCACCCCTCCCCCCCACGTGAAAGGGGACGCTCCTACCTATGCATTCAGACAGGAAGTAGCCATCGTGTGAAAAGTATGCGGGAGAACGACGTTCAAAGGCAGTTTTTATTTTATTTTATTTTTAAATGATTTATTTATTCATGAGAGACACAGAGACAGAGACACAGGCAGAGGGAGAAGCAGGCTCCTCACAAGGATCCCGATGCGGGACTCGATCCCTAAACTGGGATCACACCCTGAGTGGAAGACAGACGCTCAACCACTGAGCCTCCCAGGCATCCCTCAAAGGCAGTTTTTAAATGACCACGGTCTTCTGGTTTTGCGCTGCCCTTATTAATGAATTCCACGTAAATTCCCTGGACTCCCTTCCTAGTAGGGATTTCTCTTTCTCAGGGAAGCGTGGCTGAGGGTGCTGGTCCCCTACGGGGTTTGGCCAGGGTACGGCCATGCGCTTACGCAGACGTGGGGGGCAGGGTAGGAGAAAGGGAGACAGGAGGCAAGTGCGGGCGGCTCCGATCAGCTGCCGGCAGGCCGGCGCTTCGTGGCACCCGCGGGGCACGGCTGCCCCCTGCTGGAAGGCTGCGGTTCTGCTCCCCACCTTTCTCTTTTAAACCCGTTGCTCTCTTTCAGAATGAGGTCAATGCCATCAAATGGGATCCTTCTGGAATGCTGCTAGCATCCTGCTCTGATGACATGACATTAAAGGTAAAGCCGTCTGAAAGGATGGGCGGTCTCGTCCTGGCCAGCCCCGTCCTCGTGCAGAGCTTGCATTCACTGCTCCTCTGCTGAGGATTTTGTTCCTGGCACTCTGCCTGCGCCTGGGCTTTTCCTTTCCCCGTTACTAACGAGATGTCGCTGGCATGCAGTTAACTCCTATCTGTCCGTTGAGGCTCCTGCTGAGACTCCCTTCCCCGTGGCCTTCTGCACAGGTGCAGCCCCTAGCATGTTGCCCGGCTCTCTGTCTGGGCTTTTTCTGGCTGGCGACCTGCTGACCGGGCAGCTGCACTCCCCGCTGGGCGGCAAGCTGCCCAAGAGCTCCCGAATGAGTGATGCGAACCATTCTTGGCTGGACAAACAGCATTTGCTCACATTGTTCCTGTTATGTTCTTCAGATCTGGAGTATGAAGCAGGACACGTGTGTCCATGACCTTCAGGCTCACAGCAAAGAGATATATACCATAAAGTGGAGTCCTACCGGGCCAGCCACCAGCAACCCCAATTCCAACATCATGCTAGCAAGGTAAAGGGCAGACGGCCCACAGCCCGGGCCCGGTTCCTAAGAGCAGCCTTGCTCGCTGTGTGGCCGCGCTAGCCGGGCGGCCAGCAAGAGTTACTCGCAACCAACGAGAACAGGACATTCTGCTGGGTTGTGTTGCAAACCTTCCAAACTAGACGCAATGATTAGCTCACTTTGAAAGCGCACACAAGACTATAGGGTGAGGCCTACGTAGAGGTAAGAATTGTTTTGACCATGAGGTGGGTAGGAAGCACTAGTTCTGTGTCCAGGCTTTGAGCACTTGGCTTTCGTGAAGGTTTCTGTGAAGACCGAGAAAGGAAACGGAGTTCGGATTGGACACTGGGCGTGGTTACTTGGTTCAACTTGGACCAGCAGGTGGGAGAGAATGCTGAGCGAGGCCAGAGGACCCCCCAGCTCTAGGCACACCTGACCCAGCCACTTACGTAGTGAACCCCCTGTGACAGCAGCATCGAGAGGAATGGAATGGCCAGTCAGGCCAGAACTAGGGTGTCCCAGTGCTCAAGGGACCCCATTCAGGACGTGACGTCCTACTACTCTCTAGGTATCGTGCTTTAAAAGGAACATTCAGAAAACGAGCTGAGGAGATTCTTAGGCTGAATGCCGGATAACTGGGGGTCTGGAAGCCACAGGCAGAAGCAACGCGGGCGTGTGTGCTTTGCCTGGAAAAGAGGAGACTCGAGAGGGAAGTTTCGTTACCAGAAACAGCCGTGCGCTGCTTCTTGCCGCTTGAGAGAGCGCGGAAATACGGGCACGAGGCACCCTTCTGTAAACCGAGAGGAACCTCTTGGTTTGTGCATCGTTGCAGTGGGGTGGGCAGCCTCGCCCTGCAGTAAGGACTCGAGCCAGGGCCATCTCTTAGAAAGTACCGGAAGGGATTCCTACGTCGACTGAGGGGCTAAAACCAGAAGAACACGAAGGCAAAAATTCTCTATTATTTCAAGGAATTGTCCTAAAGCCCACTTAAATTACTGCGCTAAAGAACACAGTACAGTTGGTTGTGATGGCCTGGACGGTGTGTCTGTGTTACACGGCACCCGTTATGAGCGTGAATTATCCTTTCGGGCAGCAGGTATGAAGGGAACGTACCTGTTGAGAGACAGAGGACAGCTGTACTTTTAAATTTGAAAATAACTCCCGTTTGCAGCTCTCCACAGTGCGATCGCGTATCTGGACGTGATCGTATTTTAATTCCTGTCGGATTGAGTCGTAATCGCTCAGTTTGCTGTTTTTCCAAATTCCTGGGACCGTTTTAGTTGCTGACAGTAGATGTTATCTTTTAAATTGCGGGAGCCCTTTAGAGAATGTAGTAAATCTCCTATGAACGTGTTTATCATTCACAGCGGTAGGACACGCAGGGAGACATTAATGCGGATATCAGCTTGTTTCCCTACTAACAGCACCCGAAGGAAGGAAGGAAAGGATTTGTTTGAGAGCTGGGGCCTTGTTTCAAGGTGTCTGAGTCACATTTTGGAAAAGGCGTGCCCATTTATTGTCTCTCGAAACGTAAAAGCTTGGAAAGAAAACCTCATGATACGTGTTGCACGTCTCAGGGAAATAGGAACCAGCGTGTTTCCTGTGCTGACCTTCTGTCTCCTGCCCTCCTAGTGCTTCGTTTGATTCTACGGTTCGACTGTGGGATGTGGAGCGGGGCGTCTGCATCCACACGCTCACCAAACACCAGGAACCTGTCTACAGCGTAGCTTTTAGCCCCGACGGGAAGTATTTGGCCAGTGGCTCCTTTGACAAGTGTGTGCATATCTGGAATACTCAGGTAATGCCCCGGATTCCTGTGACCGAATCCTTTGCGAAAGTAACCCCCACGGTGTTGAGGGTGCGCCAGGCTAGGAGCGGCGGCGGCTGCAGAATCTGTGCTCGGGGAGGAGTCGCCTCAGTCGGAGCCTTGCAGCCAACCCTGCCTCCCCGGGCAGGCCCCAGGCTCGTGCCGCCTGCTCTGTGCTCCGTACAGGCTGAGGGTCTCCCCCACAGGGGACACCCCATCTTCTACTTGTCCTGAGTTCCTGGCATCCAACCTTCTACCTGCCTCATCCTTGTCCTGGGCACATGCATCTCCAGAGCTTTCCGGGAGCGCCAGCTGAGTGGGCTGCGGCCAGCCCTGGCCTCCTCTGCACCCCACCTACACCTGTAGTTCCATGGAGCAAATCAAGGAGTGCAAAGGGGCGTTGGGTTGCTGTGCTCATGACGTGCCCCGATGGAGTGAAAATATTGTGCTTGGGTAGCAAAGGCTGTGTCAGTAATGGATTGTCCTGTGGTCAGAACGAAAAGGAGACCATATTTGATTAAATGTAGCCACCGTGGGGACCTCTGGCCATACCTGAGGACCGCAGAAATCTGAATATAAAGTAGAACGGAAGGGCGGGTAGGAGTCCTTGAAAACAGCCAGTGACCCGTTTGTTTGATCTCAGGATGGCTCCGATGGCTTCCGTGCCCCCCTTTTATTCTGACCTACCTTCTCCATTCCCTTTAGCCCAGTTGATGTTCGGGTGGGTTCGCGTGCCCAAGTCCATGTCCCCCTTGTGGCAGGGTGGGTGGCGGATGAGCCACGTTAGCTGGTGTAGGGGTGCAGGAATCACCGCGACCTCGGGCTTCCCGGGGCTGCCTCCCATAAACCACACGCTCTCGCGGAAGGAGACACCATGGTGGGCCCTGCGTGGAGCCAGCCTGACGCCGGCTGAGCCTCCGGCCCTACTGGGCCTCCTGGAAAACACATCCCAGGAACAGCATGCCACGGTCTATTCATGAAACACTGGCTAGAAGCCACGATGGATGGATTTGTAAAATGACAGCGCGTTCGTCAGGTGCCGTCTACTGCCAAAGTCGTCAAATCCCATCCCCCCCTTTGTATAAATCACAAAACTCCTTGAGACATTTTAATTTTTTTTAAAGATTTTATTTTTTTCAATGTTTTCTTTTGTTTTTGAGAGAGAGAAGGAGCGAGAGAGCCTCCTAGTGGGGAATGGCAGAGGGAGAGGGAGAAGCAGACTCCTCGCTGAGCAGGGACCCTGATGGGGGGCCGATCCCAGGACCCCGAGATCATGACCTGAGCCCAAGGCAGATGCTTAACTGACTGAGCCACCCAGGCACCCCTGTTTATTTTTTCTTTTTTAAAAAAGGTTTTATTGGGTAGCCCGGGTGGCTCAGCGGTTTCGCACCGCCTTCAGCGCAGGGCGTGATCCTGGAGACCCAGGATCGAGTCCTGAGTCAGGCTCCCTGCGTGGAGCCTGCTTCTACCCCTGCTTGTGTCCCTGCCTGCTCTCTCTCTCTCTCTCTCTTCTCTCTCTCTCTCTCTCTCTCTCTCGTGTCTCTCATGAATAAATAAAATCTTTTAAAAAAAAAAGTTTTATTTCCTTAATTGAGAGAAAGCAAGAGACAGAGCATGAGCTGAGGGGAGAGAGAGGGGGAGAAGCAGGCTCCCCACCGGGCAGGAATCTTGATCCCCACACCGGGATCATGACCTGAGCCAAAGGGAGATGCCCAACCACTGAGCCACCCGGGCGCCCCTATCTACTTATTAATTTTTTGAATAAACCCTCCACCCAACGTGCAGCTTGAACCTACGACCCCATGACCGGGAGTCCCATTCTCTACCGCGGAGCCAGCCAGGTGCCCCCTCTTTGAGACACCTTAAAGCTCACTCTAAACCTCAGGGACGTGAGTACCCTCGCTAAATCTAGAAGACGCCTAACAGCACTGCATTGTCCCTCGCCCTGTGCCACCTGCAGGCCCAGCTGCCCTAGCATGCCCAGCGCCATCAGCGGCAACCCAAGGGAGGCCCGACCTCCTCCGCCACGGCCGGGCCCACGCGGTGGGGTGCCCCCGTCACTTAGGCTCCCGGGGTGGGAAGTCTGAGAGGCACGTATCTGCAGCCGCCAGATAGTTTTCCGAAAACTGTTTTAATTTGGGTCTGACCATGTCCGAGAGCACGTGCCCGCTCTAGGTACTGGATGACGAGTGCCCGCTGTGCCACATGCCCCTTTGCGTCCTAAGTGACGGCTGCTTTGCTTTGCAGAGTGGAAGTCTCGTGCACAGCTACCGAGGCACCGGCGGGATCTTCGAGGTGTGCTGGAACGCCCGAGGCGACAAAGTGGGCGCCAGTGCGTCCGACGGCTCTGTAAGCAGCAGCTCTGGCCTGCGGGGTTGTGGAGGGGCGAGGGCAGAGAGGGGGCGGGCCCGGCGCTTGATGCCAGGAGCACTCGCAGTCCACGTGGCGGCCCTGGTCTCCGAGGGCCTCGCTCACCGAGGTATGGGACAAACGTGTCCGGGGGGCGAAGGAGACGTCTCGGCTGGAGCCCGTTGGGCTGGCACCATCCGAGACATCCTGGCCGCATTTTCTTGAGCTCGATGATTCTGCCCCGGTGAGGATGCTGGGCAGCGTCTGGAGGCCCTCGCGGCTGTCACTGCTTCGGTGGGGTGGGGCGCTCCTGGCGCGTGGCGGGCAGGGGTGCTGCTGAGCCTCCTGCGATGCACAGGACGGGCCCCCACGGCAGGGAAGTACCCGGCCCTGCGTGTCACTGGTGCCGAAACTGAGAAACTTGCTCCTGTCGTAGCTCTGTGGCTGCGCCCCGTGCCTGGGCCCTGTGGTGGTAAAGGCATGGCCTTCCATTCCATGGGTCCCACGGGTCCCATTCTGGCCCCATGAGATGTCTGGCCTTTTGATTCCTTCCTGCCCTTGAGCTTGCCATGAGCTCCAGGGCGGGGCGGGGGGCAGCAGTGGACTGGCTTCCGAGCGTCAGCGTGGGCCCCGGATGTTCCCATGTGCTCAGGCTTGGGCGGTCTCCTATCCCGTCGTAAGCGTCCACCCCATCTGTTCCTAGCGTTGCCCTTTCTTTCTCATCCGTGGTGTCTGCCTGTGGTTGGTGGGTCGGTCAGATGCTCAGACGCCAGCCTCTCGTTAGAGCTTCTCTGAACCTTCGTGACTGTGTGCCAATAAAACTTTATTGACAAAGCATGGTCGATGGGCCAGATTTGGTCCAGAGACTTTAAAGGCAACTGGGTGCTGTCTGTGAAGATAACAGGCACTTCCTCTTTCCTTCCAGGTGTGTGTTTTAGATCTTCGAAAGTAAACACAAAATATTATAGAAAAGAATTCTAATGGACCAGCAGTGAATGTGTGGGGTTGCAGCGCGCGTCAGACACAGTTCTATCTGCTCCAAAACTGTACGAACTTGACTTGCATTAGAGTGTACTTGGAAACGAACTCATCCCTGGCCACAGGAGTCTCTATTTTTTCGTAACTTTCATCAAGAAGTTTAAGAAACATACAGTCCTATCAAAGCGGGAAAGAATGGTTCCCACCCAGAACATTCAGCCTGGGAAGCACGAAGCCACCAGCTAAACGGTGCACGGTTTGGTTTCCATCCAGAACAGGCTCTGATGGCAGAGAGGAGAAAACAAGAAGGAAAAGGAAAACAGGAAGGAAGAAGAAAAAAAAAAAAAAGCTGTGCCAAAAAAAAAAAAAAAAAAAAAGGAAAAACAAGAAAAATGCTGTGATAAACCAAAAGGGGGGAGGGGACTCTCCTCCACGTGGCGGGTTTGTTTTTTCCCTAACAATTTGGACACTACAGTTGTTCTCACAAAGGATGTTCAGAGACCAGTTTGTACCGATGAAATGCGCAACTTTGTAATCCCAACACTTTCTATTTTCTAGAATCTCCTTTGTCCGGTGGTTTTTCTATTGGCTGGAATCCTGTCGTCTCGGGGCCTTCAGTCTGAGATGGAAAGTGTTTCTGGTTTGTTGCTTCCTTCCCGTTGTCTGCCCCGTGCACCTTCCTCCTCCGCTCCGTGTGGTCTTGGTTCGCAGTCCACCCTCAGTAGATGCAGCCTCATGGACACCATGACAGACTCTGTGACGGACAGCTTCCCCGTCCCCCCCCCCCCGGCTCCCCCCCCCCATGGCCCCTCGCTCACTCTCTCTCTCCCTTTCTCATACTTGCTTTGGATCTTAGGTCTCAAGGGCACTTTCGGCGCGTAATAAGTGCTTTATGTAAGAAGGCAGGACAGGGGGACTTTTTACAGGAGAAAAAAAAAATACTTATAAGAGAGAGAGCCCGGAGTATTTTTGGAAAAAAAAAATATTTTTATGTTAAAACAATTTTAAAATCCTAAAAATGGCCATCAGACATAGAGAGCTTTGTGTGATTCATATTTTAAACAAATTTTAGGAAGACACAGGCAGGGTCTGAGGTAGCATTTCCCTTCAGCTTCATGAAAATGGTTGGAACTCTGGGTGGAAAGGCTGGTCCTGTGGCTCGGTCGCGGGCGTGTTCCGCAGCCAGAGAGTAAAATCCCAGCGCTCTGTGGTTCGAAGAAGAGCACCGCGTCGGTCAGGGTTGCGTTCACCCTCGTAGCCGCGGGAGAGCAGCGAAGAACAGTGCCCTCTGACCCCCAGGAGCGTTCCCCAGACCAAACGGTATTGAAGAAGCCATCACAGCCGCCCTCTGGGCTCGATGTCCCTGCGACATCCCGGTCACGGCGCCATAAATAACCGCTGGTCACTCACCCAGAGCAGGGTGGCCGGTCCTTGCAAAGCTGACGTGAAAGCCTCCAGGATCCCACCTGGTCTGACAGGGACAAGAAGGAATGGGGAAGCAAGATTTTCAATCCCGAGGGTGAATTTCCTAGGTAGACGTCACTAATAATTTCTGCTGTCTTCATAATTTCTTTCTCTCACAGGAGACTAGGAGAAAGAGCCTTTTTTTTTTTTTTAAATAATGAATCTTTTTACTGTTTTTAAAAAATTAAACATGGCTTTGTGTCGCTAGAGGAGTTTCCTTTCATTGGACCAGGTGACCTTTGTACTCTGGTTGTCATAACCCGACACTGACCTGTTGTGTTAATCAGCAGTGGGGAAGGACGGCTAGGTAAGTCCTCTTGCCTCCTCTGTTTTCCAGCGGCCGAGGACGGGAGGATGACGTTGGCCTGGCCCGGGGGCGGGGTCTGGCGGTGGGCAGGCTTCAGCCGGGTGTGTGTGCCAGCGACGAGACCGGAGGTGATCGAGAGGGTGGCATCTATCCATGCAGCCAAAACCCAACTGGCAGGCAGGGCAAGGGCCGGACTAGGCCGCCACCAGGTACAAGAACCAGTGCGTTCATCCCTCTCAGACCAGTTGGCCTCCACTTGGATATCTTGAGTCATTCCTGCCCGCTCGGATATGGGGAAGACCAAAACGTGCTCTGTGTACGACTTGGGTATTTTGTTCAGGCTCTGTTGCCTCGACGTTTGGCCCAGAGGTCAGAGCTCCACGGCGTCCCCATTCCCATCTTTGGAAGGCAGCAGATGATAATTCACTCACTGCCTGCCCCAAGAAATCAGTAGGTTTGGGATGCAGTTTGTTGGGGGTCAAGACTGACCCCGCCTTGATCCCTTTGACCCCAAAGTAAAATGTCATCGCTACAGAGCAGAAGTTGAGGGGTGGCCATGGTCAGGACATGACTCATGTTTGACCATCCAAACACCGTTGGGTGGCCGTGGCGGGACATCCTCTAAGGGGGGCTCACTGGATGATCTTCACGTGCAGGTCAGGAGCCAGGGTCTCGCAGGCTTTAGCCTCTAGACAAGTCTGAATCACTTGGGAATGGCCAGACGGGGGCTGAGGGCTGAGGGCTTGAGCCCTGCACAGCCATCGGCGAGGAGGGACCCGCCGTGAGCGTGTGGGCAGCGCCCCGGGGATCCATCCCCATCCTCGGCCCGATGGCAGCGATGTGTGGCGCCTCCGACCTTGGCCCTGCTGCCCGCCAGCTGACAGACGCCCCTCTCCTCGAGGGATGGCCCACGTGCGAAGTCCGTGCTCGCCGTGGTTGACAGCGCTTCAGGATTGTGGGTAGATGCCGAAGTCTTAGCGACCAAACTTCACCTTGATTCCGAAAGCAGAGTAACACAACCAGCCTTCCCGGAATCTTCCATCGGGTTTCGAGTGACCAAGAGCATGTCCCGCACACACACTTGGCCAAGGGATGCCGCCCCCTGGGAGACCGAAAGGCCAGACGTTTCAGGGTTCAACCCTCTGACCCCACACGACACCTAGGACTTGACGTTCGTTTTGTCTTTCTAAAACTAGATCACGGAGCCAAGTGAAGTGCACTTTGTCAAATGTAAGGGTCTGCGTTGTTCCTTGTTATTTTTAACCTTCTGTTCCACTTTTTTTTTTTTTAAATCGTGTTTCTTGTCCAATGCAGAAATGTTCCTTCCGCCACTCACTGAAGTTTTGAATTCTGGCTTCTGCAGTTTTTATTGTCTGTGTCAGACGTACAGCCAGACGTCCTCTGTCTGCATTTTCTAGATTCTGTTCCGTGCACATCGACCCCCGTTCTGTTCTCTTCCACCCCCACTCACCCTCACGCTCTCTGAGAAAAAGAATCACCTTGTGTGTCGTAGCTCATTTGTTTCAAGAGAGAATCAACAGATCATACTCAGTGTCTTGAATAAATCGCTCTATTTTGATATTAGAGAACTTGGTGGCTGTGCTTTCTTGGTCTCGCTTGGCTGAGCTTGGGCCCTCGTGGACGTGGCGAGCGAAGGCCATCGAGTGCCCGTTCCCGGGATGGCTCCGCTGCAACGGGCAGGGGCGCGGGCAGCCCCCGGGTTACGTTACAGGCTGTTCCACCCGCTCCTCCTCCAGGACTTCAGGCGGGCTGTGGCGGGGGGGGGGGGGGGGGGCCTGTGCCCTGCACACGAGGAGCTGCGCGTGGCCGGAGGCCCCAACGGAACTGGGCCACGTGCCAGCATGGCAGGGCTTTTAGGGGCCTTTGCTCACTTGGTGGGTGTGTCCCGCACATCGTGTGCCCGTGGGGAGGACAGGGGCGCTGGGGGCACAGGGTGCCAGGCACCTTGGTGCAGGCGGCGGGCCGGGGCCCCAGCTGTGCGGACTCCAGCTGCGTGTTTTAGGCCCCACCGGGCTGGGCGGGCACATCCCCCACTTCAGGAGTTGGGGGGAAGCACAGCACAGCCTGGGGCACAGGGGGCCTGCAAGGGGTGGGTGCCCGGCTTCGGTGGGGTTCAGGCTTCCAGTCGCTCAACACCGCGCTCGCTGGCCACGGAAGCTTCTGGGCACCGTGTGCGGGCGGTGCCTCCTGTGCACGCAAGCCTGGCCTCACGCGGGGGTGCAGGTGGGAGCAGTTGGGGTGCGCAGGCCCTTGGCAGGGTGCACCCCAGGGCCAAACAGGCCGGGTCTGGCTCCATCCCTCGGAGCCACGGGGCCAGGCCTGCACGTACTCGGTTCCCCGGAGCCGGACAGGGGGGTGGGCGCCCCCTTCTTCTGACGGGAGCTCTCGTTTCCCTCTAGGCAGACAGGGCCGTGTGCGGCCGGTCCCCTAGACGCCGGCTTCCAACCCCGACCTGGGAGACGGTGCGGCCGCAGGTGTCGGGGACACGGGGACGATGTGGGGCTGCCTCCATGCCCTGAGCCGCGGGGACGGCCCCATGCCCGGCCCCAGGCCTGCAAGCAAGCGACTCTCCAAGGGTACAAACCTGGAAGCTTCCTGGGCGGCTCTCGAGCCCACGGGACGCCCCGATGCGCAGGCAGGTGTCACGCGGCAGACTCCGCGGCGTCCTGAGAAAAGCGTCTTGCTTCTCTGCGCACCTGCCTGCGGGGCTTGCACGTGCAAGGCGCCCACTAATGTTCTTGCCGATAAATAAAAAAATTCTACGTGTATATAGACCTAATGCCATGGAAGCGGGATTCCAAGCTGAGCAGTGGCCTCGGTCCGGTGCCAAGGACCCCTGAGACCAGCCCTGCCCGACAGCACGGGGACACACGGTGGCCGGTGAGCGGCCGGGCCCCCTGCCCACTGCCCCCCAGGCACCGCGCCTGCACCCAGCGGCGGGAGCCGCGGCCCCGTGTGTACAGGACGGGCGGGGGCCGCGGGCGGCTGAGCGTGTGCAGGAGCAGCCGAGTGCGGCGTGGAAGGCGCTCCTGTCCCCGCGGCCACGTGACCTCCGGCCACAGGTGTCCCCCGGGGGCGACATGGCATCTGGACCGCCGCGACCCTCACAGGTCTCCCCGGGGCTCAGGAACGGGGCCAACCTCGTTTCTGTCGCGGGACTCGCTGGTGACATGGATTTCAACTGTGCTGGCATCGGAACCTGCGGAGGGAAACAGCAAGCCTGTGCCCGTGTCGCCATCCCCAGGCTCCCTCCCTGCTCCCTGGCCCCTGGTCCTCTGCAGAGGCCCCTGTGAGCTGCGGGCCCCAGGCTGTCGCCGTGCGGGACACCAGCTCGCAGGGCCCGCGGTGACCGCAGGACAGTGGCCACGACGGCAACAGGGTCGCCGGGACCCAGGAGGGGGCGCAAGCGCTGGGCACGGTCACGGTCCCCACAGCCAGATCCCGGGAGAATCCGGAGAAGGCCTCGTGCCGGGCTGGGGCGGGGGGGGGGGGGCTGCCCTTCCAGAGACCAGGCGCCAGCGGGGACTTCTGGAAGACACTTCTGAAACCACAGTGCCGCTGGAGGAGCTGCTGGCACTTCAAAGAGTTGCTTTCCACAGGGTCACCCACTGTTGATGAGGACGTCCTGCGCTCATGGGAACTCGTGTGTGTGACTTCTGAAGACCCTGGGGGGACGTCACATGGCGGCCTGCGGTCAAGGCCTGGGCTTGAGACGCTCCCGCGTGACCTCACACTCGAGGGCATGCTCTGGATCCTGCGGCTTTGTAAGAGCTCCGGGTTCTTTCATCCTCCCCCTGGGGCTCGCGGGGAAAACCCACGTGTACCCCAACAGCTTTCTCAGATGCCAGTGCTGCTGGAGCCAAGCCACCTGAGCCCAGCCCTGCCCGCGCGGACCTCACTGGGCACTCGCAGCCGAGGGCCTGTCAACACGCCTGGGTTTCCACGGCTTTGCTCTCCCGGTCCCAAGGGTCTCCACAGGGACAATGTGCCTGCTGAGCAAGGCTCTGCGAGGATCATCCAACGAGGCCATTGGGGAATTTGCACTAATGCTCTGCTGGAGCCAAGTGTGAATACGTGACAAGTGTCCATGCACGATACACAGACACCAGCAAGCTCATGGTGCCCAAGGGCCAGCCCCCTTCGAGGGGCTCTCTTCCAGGAGGCCGCAAACCCACGCAGGTTCTTGGGAACTTCCTGGCCCCGTGCAGATCTGAGATTCAGAAGGGCGCACTGGATGTCTCTTGCTCCCTCCCTCGGCTGCTGTTCCTGGATTCCTTGAAAGCCACGAAGCCCTAGATCACAGAGCCCTGTCTCATGGCATCATGAGCCATGGAGAACATGTGGCACCCGGGCCCAGGTCTCCTTCTAGGTGTGGAGTTTGACCTAGGGGGGTGCAACCAGAGCTGGAGCCCCGCAGTGCGTTCTCTTCCACATTTCCCGGGCGACTAGCCTCCATGTGGCCACCTAGTGCTGCACTCGGGGGCCAGTGACACAACAGGGACCCGGGGCTGAGATAAGGACTGTGGGAGTGACGGGGGACCGTGGACGAGAGAGCCGTGGGGAACACAAGGGGATATAGGAGAGAACGGAACTGCGGGAAAGGGGGGAATTCTGGAGAGAATGGGGAGCTGTGGGAGAGCAATGCAGCTTGGGGAGAGCTGGGGGGGTGATGGAGAGAACTGGGGGGTAAACAGCATTGTGGGGAAGAGACGTGTAGCAGACGGGCAACTGTGAGAAGGCATCACGGGGAGGACAGAGTACTGGAGGAGAAAGAAGTTTAGGAAAGTCAGGAGATGGACGAATACTGCATTGTAGAAGCACACAGATTTGTGAGGGGCAGTGAGGAACCCAGAATTGTGGGAGGAAGTGGGAAGTTGTGGGGAACAAGTGTGAGAGAACTAGGCTACAGGCAGGGTGGGAAGCTGTGGGAGAGACAAGGCACAGGAGGACAAAAGGGACACGAAGGACTGGGAGAGCAGGAATCGCGCAAGAGACAGGAGATGGTGGAAAAGGAGGGAGAACTGTGGGACAGAAATGCAATTATGTGAGCAAAGGGATGGTAGAGGAGATGGGGGAATGGTGGAAACCTGGAAAGATCGTGACGGAGAAAGAGGTATTAGGGAGAGCAAGAGAAACAGAGAGAGAGAGGTAGTATTACGGAGAGACGGGAATGGTGGGAAAGCACCTGGGGGGGGCGGGGATGAAGAGTTCCGGGAGAGACAGGCAGTATTTTTTTTCTTTTGTCTACTGACATTTATTTTTAAGTTTTTATTTAAATTCCAGTTAGTTGGGATCCCTGGGTGGCGCAGCGGTTTGGCGCCTGCCTTTGGCCCACGGCGCGATCCTGGAGACCCAGGATCGAATCCCACATCGGGCTCCCGGTGCATGGAGCCTGCTTCTCCCTCTGCCTGTGTCTCTGCCTCTCTCTCTCTTTCTCTCTCTGTGTGACTATCATAAATAAATAAAAATTAAAAAATAAATAAATAAATTCCAGTTAGTTAACACACAGTGTAATAGCAGTTTCAGGTGTGCAACCTAGTGATTCAACGCGTCCACACAGCAGCTGGTGCTCGTCAGCACAAGCGTCGGCCTTCATCCCCATCGCTTAGTTAACCCCCCCCCCCCACCCAGCAGTTTGTTCTCTATGGTGAAGAATCTATGTCTGGATCTCTCTCTCTCTCTTTTGCTTTTTACCTTTGCTCATTTGCTTTGTTTCTTAAATTCCACATGTGAGCAAAATCATATGGTATTTGTCTTTCTCTGATTTATTTCACTCAACATCCAGCTCCACCCGTGATGTTGTAAATGGCAAGATCTCATGCTTTCTTTATATTATGCAGTTTTCCACTGGATCTGCTTTATCCATTCATCAGTCAGTGGAACTTGGGCTGTTTCCATAGTTTGACTATTGCAGATAATGCTGTTCTAACCATCATGGCACAAGGATCCCTCTGAATTAGTGTTTTTGTATTCTTTGGGTAAATACCTAATAGTGTGATTGCCAGATCACGGTTAGTTCTATTTTTAGCTTTTGGGGAACTTCCATAGTGAAAGACACTAAGTTAAAAAATACTAATTTTTAAAGATAATATGCACCCCTATGTTTATTAAAACATTATTTATAATAGCTAAATCATGGAAGCAACCCAAGTACCCATCAATACACGAGTGGATAAAGAAGATAGGGTATATTCATGCAATGAAATATTATTTAGCCAAACGAAAGAATAAAATTTTGCCATTTTTATTGACACACATGGATCTAGAGAGTATAATGCTAAGTGAAAGGAGTCAGAGAAAGACAGGTACCATATGATCTCACTCACTATGGAATTTAAGAAACAAAACAAATGAACAACAACAACAAAAGAGATCAACAAAAACACCAGACTGTTAAATATGGAGAACTGGCGGTAACCAGACGGGAGGTGCGTGGGGGGATGGGTGGAATAGGTTAAGGGGATTAAGACTACATTTATGAGCACTAAAGCATAGAGTTGCTGAATTACACCTTAAACTAATACTGTTAATTATGTTGCAATTTTAAAAATAATGAAACCACTCAGCAAAATAACCAAACTGTAGGAGAGAACAAATAAGTTGTGGAAAACCAAAGGGTTATGGGAGAGCAAGCGCTGTGCAAGAAAGGGGAGTTGCAGGACACTAGAGAGAGCTGTGGGAGACCGAGCAGTGTGGGAATGACAAGGAAGTGAACAAGAGAGCTGTGGGATGGAAGAGGAACTGTGGGAGAGACAGGGCATGTGGGAAGAGCAGGGATTACTGGAAAGAGAGCATCTGGAAAGAAATGAAATGGTGGGGACACGGGCTTATGGCAGAGAAAGGGGAATTCTGCGGAAGGGCATTGTGGGGAAGACGAGATCATGGGCATGAAGGGGGGCTGTGAAGGGCAGGAATTAAGGGAGAGAATGCATTCTGGGAGGGAGTCCTGTGGGAAAGACATGGGGTTGTGGGAGTAACACAGGGTTTGGGGAGAAAGAGTGTTAACTGTGGGAACAAGGAGGGTTTGTACGAGATAAAGGAGAACTTAGGAAAGGGAACTGCGGGAGAAATGGAGCATCATGGGACAGATGGAAATAGTGGGAGAATAGAGAACTACAGGAGATGAAGACAAGTACGAGACAAAAAAAAATAGGGGAACAAAGAATGTGGGAGAAACAACTACAGGGAAGATAAAATGCGCCCCAGAACACAGAAACTATTGAGAAAAATGCAGATTTGTGAGCACGGACAGATGCCAGAATTGTGGGAGACAAGGGGCAACTAAAGGAAAGAGGGACCTGTGAGAGGAATAGGGTGTTGCTGGAAAAGCAGCATCGTGGGACGGAGGGGGCAATCCTGGGAGAGAGAATAAACTGTGGGAAAAAACGTTTTCTGGGAGGGATGGGGGACTGTGGGGTGTGACACGGGGTTGTGGGAGAGAAAATGAGACTCGTGGAAGATGCTGTAGGGAAACGTGGTATTGGGAGCGAGGCGGGGAAGTGCCAGAGCAACAAGGGAACAGGAGAGGGAAAGAGAAACGTGGGTCGGGAAGGGCAATTGTGGGGGAAACAGCAGTTGGGAGATGAAATTGTGGGGAAATGGGTGATGGGAGAGAAATGAGAATTGTGGGGAGAGTACAAGATTATGGGAGAAAGGGCCATTGTGAGAGGGCAAGGGAATTAGGAGGGAAAGGGGAATTGTGGGAGACCCTGTATTTGGGATACCGGGAATCGTGGGGGAGAGGATTGTGGGGACAACGGGGATTGGGATGGTGAAAGTGGGGGGTTGCGGCAGGCAAAAAAGAGTCCAAAATCGTGGAAGAAAACGAACCATAGATGGAACATAGTTTTGAGAATAAGAGTACTGTGGGAACGGTAGGAAACGGTGAAAAACAAGGGCCCGTGGGGGAGAGAAGGAAATTTTGGGAGAAACATGGAATTGCGGGAACAATAAGGAGTTCATAGAATAAACAAATTCTTTAAAGATTACTTATTTATGTATTCATGAGAGACACAGAGAGGCAGGGACACAGGCAGAGGGAGAAGCGGGCTCCCTGCGGGGACTCGATCCCGGGATCCTGGGGTCATGACCTGAGACAAAGGCAGATCCTCATCAGCTGAGCCACCCAGGCATCCCCTCTCTCTCTCTTTTTTTTAAATGTTATTTATTTATTCATGAGAGAGAGAGAGAGGTAGAGAC